GCTTTAGTTTTCCTCTCAGGTTGAGCTACAGGAAGCTGAATACCTGTACACAGAAAAATGCTGAGGTGCACCTTAATTTTCCTTTTTTCCCCACTGGATCTCTGAAATCTGTGCTTATCGCTTCTGTCCCAGTCTTCCCCCAGCTATTTTACCATAAAACAAAATTATGATTTTTAAAGACCAGCAAGTACAATCTCCATTATGACTAGAGAAACCAGTAATCACTGGCATCTTGTGTCTAATATAAACATTTGTGTTGGTCAGGCTGATGTGAGTACCCAGGAGTTTATGTGCTGAAAAATGACAAAGCTGAACTGGAAGGGATAGAGAGATAATCATATCTTAAATATTGTGTTGAAACATCATACACAAATGCCATTTTGAGTGTTCCTTAGAGAATTGTTAGGGATTTTTGGTGAGTATTGACAGAAAGCATGAAAAGGAAAGAGAGCAGAGACATGGAGAACAAAGAACAGAGAAATGAATGGGATGCCAATAACATGGGAATGAGGTGAGTACAAGACAGAAAGTGTGGAAGATGCAGACTGTCACAGGTGAAAATCTCTGTGGCCATCTTTGACTAGTAGCAACCCCAGAAGAGTCCTCGTAAACAACAGAAGAATTTTCCTTGAAATTGGAACTGAGATAAAGAACACTTTTAATACATGCGACATTTTATAAAAATATGTGTTTTTTTTTTCCTGAACATAAATGATAAAAAAATACCAAGTGTCTGGTGATATGCAAGAACTTCTCTTTCTGTCCCATTCCCTTTTCACTGTTCTTGGCATTGAGAGCTCACACAGATATAATCCCTTATGGTGGGGGACTCTCCTTAATGAAGATCCCAGGCTGTGTCAATGTTTGTCATTCATAGTCTTCCCCTCCTACTAGATTATCTTCTAATCTGGTATAAATGTGAGGGTCCATTAAAAACAGTAATAGCAACAACAACACACCAGAAAAATATCACAATCTTCCTAAAATATCTGCCAATTTCAAAAAATTTTAAGCTAAAAATGAAGGTTCTGGTAAGAATCCCCTTCACTTACTGTCCTTACAGTGAGTCTTGTCTTGAAATGAGTCATGAAGAATTCAGCTAATTTCCTCTTCCACCCTACTTCCCAGCAAAATCTATTTCCGACTACCTCTCTTATTAATTCATTCTCACCCTGGTCTTCATCTTATTCACTTTAACTGGTAGTAATGTTTGTGGGCTGAATTAATACACTTTCTAATGTAATTTCAGAGGTTCATATTTACAATGTTGTAACACAGTGCTCTGCAATATCACTTAGTCCAGCAGTATTTGTCCAACTCCTTGCAGCATAAACTTGCACAGTGGCACTCATTTCACTTGGAGAGTGGATGGAAAAATGTCAGCTGTTGAATCAAGTAAATTCACTATAAATTCCTATATGTGGTTCTGCATTCATCTGCATGTAAACCACATTAATTTTCATGAAATTGTGCAGTTATATTGGTGCAATGCCACTCAAAATAATTACTGTTCTATTTAATTTTGTATACCGTTGGTTTTATGGCATAAAAATATATACTGGAACTATATTCCATTAAATTCTTAACCTTCTTACACATTTAATAGACATTAATATAAAAAAGTGCATTTTCTTGAGGAAAAACAGGAGTGATAATAAATGATTTATGATGGCATATGTTGCATCAGGAGATTTTTCATGCTTCACTTGACAATTATTTGCTATTTATTAATTTGTCTTTCCTTTCATGAGAGTTCTCAGTTTGACAGGGACATGTTTCTTAATTTCATATCACCTTAAACAGATTTGTGGCAAATGCTAATATTAAAAGTTAACTCTAGCCTCTACATCTAAATTAGCATGACTAAAATACTTCGTGTGCTTTTTGGAGAAAACTGATACAATTTTAGGGATTTTTTTTTTAATTGAAATTGTCTTTTACCTCAGCTTTGAAAAAATGGCCAAGAAGTAATCTTTACAGGACACAGGTCATGTGAAGGGTATATAAGATACTTGTATAGCACTTATACTAAGATACTCATAATTATTTCCTTTAAGCCATTATGTACATGATATTTCCAGAAATTACAATGCTGGAGTTCAGTCAATTGCTAAAGAAAAAAAACAAAACAAAACAACTCTCAGGACAGAACACAATTATTTTTACAGTAAGTAGAAATTTTCCTTGTGCAATCATTCTGGAAGTCAGGAAATATCAGCTGTTGTGTGATATGATATCTTTATTGTAAGCATAATACTCAACCAATGTTTTTCGTTACCAATACAGAGTCAGGTTACAGGCAACTATGTAAGGGTTTCCATAAAGAACATACAGAAAATGGACTCTGATAATAAATACAAATATGCAAAAGTATTCTTATGCAAGTACATATTTCTTACATGAGCTCATGTGTACTCAGTGGACTCTTGGTTTAGCATATATTGATGTATCTGTAGGAGATTCACGATTGTCGGTCCCTTCCTCTGTCCTCTCTGTGTCCTGCTGAAATATTAATGAATTTCACAATTTCCTGATATCTACAGTCATTTGATACCCTGCCACTTAAAAAAAAATCCATAAGCAGTCACAAATACACTTTGAACTATCAACTTGCTGCTGTTGAAAGAAATACGGTGTTGGCATTTTAAGAGTGTTGTAAGCCTTGTTTTTAGAAGATGGCACTGACAACTTTTCTTCCCTAGTACTGGTTTCCTCCACCAGCAAGCTCAGAGTTGGCATGTAACTTTGGTTACTGTTGTCATGGGTAGAACATCGCCTGCGGGCAATCAGAGGCACGATCTCAACTGCTGCTCCTCCAAGCCTTTGCTTATCTCTAGAAAAGATCCACTGGAGAAGGCTTTCTCATTTTTCTAGCTCTGCTGCAGGTATTCTTGATCTATGACACATTTAATAGTAACCATCTGGACTACATGGCTAGCTTCAGCACTTTTAATAGAAAGATTTTTTTCTAACCCATTCCCACTAGACTTGGGGAAAATCATGAATATAAGATGGGATACTGGCAGTTGTGGTGCCCTTCTACTAGCTACAGCTGGAATGTTTAATTGTGGTATGAGGATACTTGGAATAAGTTGTTAAAGTAAAAACAGTGCTTGTCCCTACTGCAGTTGGTGAGTCTCCTAATAGTAGCAAACAGAATTCATGTTTATGACTAGGAGCTACTTCTTTCAACAGGGTTCAGCAACAGGTTACACAGGTGAGCAGCAGCTACCTACTCCCAGCTACAGTTTTCTCTCTCAACTGGCAATCCACAAAAATATTCCTCAGACATTGGCTACAGCCATTTGTGCAACAGTTACAGAACTTCGGAGCAAGTTCTAAACAACATTTGGGTGCCCAAGTCACGCTCTGAAAAAGATAAAAATAATGTAGATAGAACTTGCTGTTAGACACTGAAGAATTCTTCTTTGTCTACAATATTTGCTGAATGTGAAGGGGATAGTTTGCTGTCTGTCATGCTTCCTAAAAAGAGTTGCCAAGTCTGTCTTCAGATTTGCTCCTACTTAAAAAAATTCCCACATAATTTACTTTCTCTTAAATAATGAAGAAGGAAATAAAGCCGCCAAGACGTTTCATTGTTTGAAGACAGTTGGTCCAATTTGGGACCTGCACTTACTTTGGGGTAATAATGACAATAACATTCCATGGAAATGTATAGATTTAATTAACTAGCTAATTGATTCATAGAGTGTCTGTGCAGGACAGATGACGATGAAATAGCATGTAGCTTTTCTCCTTACTGATTGAAATAATCAATATAATTTCTCTGTCTTGCAATAACTTTAAAGGAGAGCTTTATCCTGTTCATTTTTTACCTCCTAACAAAACCAGCTGTCACGTTAGGAAAACAAAAAGGTGGTGTTTTTCCACAGAAAGTCACAGAAGGAGTGAACTGCACACAGATTGTTTCAGAGCACCTGAGAGCGGAGAGGTGCTGCAGCTGCTGCTGAAGTGTGTGGAAGGGCTCTCTCCGCTCTGTGCATCGGGAACAGGACACTTTGCTGCCCTTTTACTGAAGGGTGATGATTATTCTGGGTCTGCTCGCAGCACCATGGACCCATCATAACATGGACCATCCAGGATAGCAGCCAAATGTTATCGGCAGGAAAACAGGCTGTAGGGGAGAGTAGAACCTCCTAGAAGGTCTCACGGTGTAAGCACTAAAAAATAAAAAGCGCCAGATAGCGTTTCTTATATAGCACATCTTAACAAGGCAGACATAAGTGGAGAGCCGAATGTTGCCTGCTGGTGTCCTTTCCCCCGGCACCCTGGGAAGAGGTGCTCTCTGGTGGACAGAGGGAAAAGCTGGTCTGCGAAACATGCTGCTGTGCCCTCGGTGAGCTAGACCCAGCTCAGAAGCGGGCTGGAGGCTGAGGAGAAGAAAAGAGCGCCTTTCCTCTGTGACAGCCCGCCGGGAGAGTGGGGCTGAGGGAGGAAGGCTGACCCAAAAGCATCCAAAGCGCCAGAACGGGGACCTGTGGATGTCCCTTGCAGCCGGCTCCCGGGCGGGCGCGGACACCGGGCTCCCCTAGGACATGTCCGCGGGAGCGCCCGGGGCCGAGCGGGGCTGAGCGGGGCCGAGAGGGGCAGAGCGGGGCAGAGCCGGGCAGAGCGGGGCCGAGAGGGGCTGCCGCCGACCCCCGGGCGCTCTGTCACTCAGGGCATCGCCGTCCCCGCACGGCAGCCTCTGCGGGAGCGGCGGGAAGCTCCGCCTCCGCCCGATCGGCAACAGCCTGATAAAGGCAGGTGCGGGAGAGCAGCGGGACCCCAGCTCGAAGCATCTGCTTGTGCACGGAGCCCCTGACCCGGCCTTTGCCGCCCCGGCAAGGCGGCTCTCGGTCCGGGACAGGAGGGGACCCCGCCGGCCGCAGCCGTCGGGCGCGTCCCTGCCAAGGGACAAGGACCTCGCCCCCAGGGACCTCCGAAGAGGCGGGATCTCTCCGGGAAGGGGAAGCAGGATTTTGTTGTGTGGCTTGAAGATGAGGCAGGCATCTGGAGTGGCGCTCCTCCTGGGGCTGATGGCTCTCCCAGCGGCACTGGGACAGAGAAGTTCGGAAAGCCCTAAATATAGCAACCAAAGCTTTGCCATCGTCTCTTTCAAATGGGATCACGTCAAGGAGCCGTATATCATTGCACTCTGGATACTTGTGGCCAGCTTGGCCAAAATCGGTGAGTCTGGAGTTACATATTAATATGTGTCCTCTCCCTTTCCCTTCCCCCTTGCCCTTCTCCCACCCAACAGGGTGTCTTCAGTAAATGAAGAAAGCTTATCATAGGTCCGCTGACCCGTTTTCAGGGGGTTTATTGTACTCTGTCCTGATTTCATAATACTGCCCTACACGGCGCTTTGCAGGGTGATTTTCACCAGCCTCGAGGGGTTACCTAGTTCATTTTCACCGCCCACGACTGTGGCTTCTGCATCTGACTCCTTGTAAACTCTTGCAATTCCTTGAGACCTTGCATTCCTCTTGCTCCCATGAAAAACTTTTTTGCGAAAGTGAAACAGAAATCTGCCCTTATTGCTTACACAATATCTATTAGGGTTTATGATATGCTTTTCTCCTGATTATGATTGTTAGCTCTATCAGCTGGTAACATCAAATATAAGCACTGCAAATCGCACATATGAATTTAGCATTCTCTCCTTTGAAGTGCATTGCTGAATGAGTGAAAGAACATAGTTTAGAGAGAAATCTGACATGTATTATCAGACCATCTGATGTAACTGAAATAAAGATAAGCTTTAGAGCACCCAGAATTTTCTTCAAGAAATTGGAAAAAGTGAAAAGCCAGTATTTAGCCTAACTTCAGTGTTGTTTAAATGAATTTATATGAATGCTCCAACTCTTGTGTTCTGAACTTTGTGACTTTTCCAAAAGCAATCTTGTATCAATAAAAGTCACGGTTTAATTGGAATGTATTTTACTTGATTGATGCTATTACTTTCAGACCTTTTTGCCTTTGGATCTAAAAGCAAACATCCAGTTTGGCTGACACTGTAAATGACAGTTTCATTTAAAATAAATATTTTCTATTATCAGTCCCATCTCAGAAGGTTAGCTGAAAATCCTACTGAAGACTTTCATGAACTTGCACTGTTAACACTAATTTAGTATACCAGAATCACATTCCATGGATTTTTCATGCTACAGAGAATGAAAGATGCAAAAAGGTATATTTAGGTGTATTCTGTCTAACACATAAGACAAGCATGGTAAGACCTGGATGGAAAATGCTGCCTCTAAACCCAGAAAAAAAGCACTTTAAGAAGGAGTAGTATGTTATAAGTTGGGGTGATATTGGACATCATTTTCCAGGAATAGGAAATGGCTATTGGAATAGCCATCATGGCTTTTACTTGATTAACCACAGCTATATAACTAAATACCTTTATCTGTACCTGTTTGACTACGCTATGCCAATAGTTTGTCTGTAGACAGTTGCTGCATCGTCTAGATTACATAAAAGACAATTATGTTTTAATTGACTTTTATTGATGAGTTATAGCAATTAGAAAGCTGGGAAAACCATATACAGGAAACAACTGTCAACACTGAGTACCTATAAAATTCTGCTGAAGTAATAAACAGGCTGCTTGTTTTGAACCTTCTTTTTGAAATACTGTTCTAAGTAAGTATAGTTAGTAAGGCCTTGTGCTATTTAGGCTTTGCTGTTCTGTACATGTGGCACAGTTGTATGGTGTAATATTAGTGGTGCCCAGCCATATCAGTTTTTGTCCAAAGTCACTGAACCCAAGAACAGGACAGTTAGATTGTACTATATTAAAATTGCAATGGCCTGGATTCAGATTAGTTGAGATTAATATGAGCCATTTTACCATGAAGTCCTTGATATAAACTCTTGATAAAGCACTTAGTGTCAAGAGCTGAGTGATGCTGATTCTGTTTTTAAATTCTTTGTACTTCTTTCACAGCTGCACAGAGCACATCACTTATTAGTAGATCCTACCTATCATCAGCCCCATCACTTTTCTTCCCCAAAGCTCTCAATCTTTGTTTTTTTCTCCCTTCACATATAATGTATTTTTGATTCTATACTACTCTGGACATGGTTTCTGAAGATGCAATGGATAACTGCTGTATTCCCCTGAGAGCACATGAATGTGTCTGCTCTCCCCACCAGTCACAAATATCACACAAAAACTCACTGTTCAACAGCTTCTTAATGAAGAAATCATGAAGGTGTTCATGTAAGTCTGTGAGAAAGGGAATTGAAAAAAATAGCTTTTCAGCCTTCTGTCTGCCTTGGTGTGTCAAGGGTTCTGGAAAGTAGGACAGAAATCTATGAGAAGATTTTGAATTGCAAAAGTCCTATGCTGGATCAGAGAAGGTTTGCATATTCAAAAAGTAGACAGAAAAGAACCAAGAAAGAAAATATAGAACATCTGTCCTTGGGTTTCTTTACTACCTGAAGCAGGTCAATTGTAGTGGAGTGAAAGTGCTGGTTTTGCTGTGAGTTTTTCAGCAGGGGAGGAGCTGTTCTTACACATGCAAGCTCACTTCTCCATGGCTACAGGGATTGGGAGAGTTATTTTACTGATAGATGATAGACAACTGGGTCAGCAGAAAGTGTTCTAGGAATTGCAGTTGATACCTGGGGATAAAGGTGTATGAGAATACTTTCTTTTGAATTAGAATAGTGTTAGTGGTTTTGTGTTCATTTGGGTTTTTGTTGTTTTGGGTTTTTTTAGATTTGTTTTGTTTCAATTGTGTGGAAGTTTGGTTTTTTTTTTGTGAAAAACAAGTTTCAGTTAATGATATTATATGACTGGGGGAAACATTTTTGTATTTTTGCAGATTATCTGGGGCTTGATGTTCATGGTGTGTACAAGGTGTCCTGCAACGTAAACTATTTTATGTTAAATCTCATAAGTATCCCAAATACAAGTAGATGTGCCTAGTGTTTTGGACTTTTGGAGAAGGGAACTGCTCTTTTAGTTTTAGTTTAGTCTAGTTATTGGTTAACTCTAAATATTGCTACAAATGAGACTGGAAAACAGCCTTCATACTATTGGCTTTCATGCATTATAGAAAATAAAAAATTTGTGCCTTCCATTAAACTTCTGATGCATCTTGGTCTACTGTTTTACATAATCTAATTGATTTGATTTGATTTGACCGTCTTCATTTTAAATATTCCCACTCTTCATTCTTCCACTTCAAGTGGAACATTCTTAAGGTTCACAATGTTCTACTTTGGCCAATGATCTTTATTTCCTCTTTTGATAGGCTGTCCTATCACTGCAGAGGAGTATCCTTGTGGGATAGGGCCAATAAACTAGTTTCATTTATAAATCTAAGCCAGAAAATCCTCTTATCTACATGAAGAAGGTACACGAGGTACAACTGAGAGCCCTCCTAGTGGACTTCACGTGTCCACTTCCTGGTATCTCAGTGCTCCAGATGAAATAAGCAGTACCACTGAAAAAGAATAACCTCTAAATGCATACACGTGTGTATTTATAGCTACAGACAGTACAGACATTTCCTTGCTGTAGCCCTGCAGGTAAAGGATGTACCATTTTTAAACAACATTCTTACACAATATACTTCTGGTTTTAGATGAAAGACGCTTGTATGCTGACCAGACTCTCATGTTCTTTCTAAGTTCACTTGGCCATGTGTTCTTCTTCTTCACATGTCTGTCACAGATAACATCTTGAAAATAAACTTTGAATAAATAGATGCATAGAAGACACAATATTTTGGCAGGAAAGTCTCTACAGAAAGAGGTAGGCACAGGTGGAAAATCAGAAAACTTTGGAAACGAGAGTAGGAGTAATGAGCTCACAAGCTAAAAATGGCTAAGAAAAGAAATTTTTTAGCACTGAACATTGTGCACAGTTTTTTCTTGAGGGTATTTCTCAGGCCATGTCACTGAAAAAAAAAAAAAAAAGAAAGTATGCTTTCTACTTGGGGGATGCCTAGTACATGATGCTATACTTGTTCAAAGTTCTAGGAAAGAGAGATTGAATTTATATCTTTATTGGAGGCCATGCTGGGGAAATTGTGAAATTCCTTCTTGCAGTTAAAATCCTTTTCTGTACTGTAACATTTTTATAACATTTTTTCAACATTTTTACAGAAGAATAGGTATGTGTCTCAAAGTGGAAAAAAAAAAAAAAAAGCCCTACAAAGCAGCCTTTCTGCCTGTCTGGCCCCCTGGATTTTCTCAGGGTGTGCAGATAAGCAACTGGAAGAAATGGTGGGAGAGTAACTATGAACAGGAATGAGGAAGGGTGCACAGCCTTTTCATTATCTGAGTCAAACCTCTTGCCAACTCTTTTTGTTGGTATAGGTTATGCTGAGAATGTCACAAAAGCTTTTTTTAATTTATTTTTTTTTAAATTTCTGTGTACTTGTACACAAATTCTAAAGGCTTTTATATATGAAATTAAAAAGTGGGAGTGAAATCTGAATCCAGGGCAGCTGGTAAATCTGTCTTCAGGAATGCCACAATGCTCTGGAGGAGGGGGGAGAAATGACTCAAACAAACACTTAGGAGAAGGCTGGTGAAGTGTCAGATGGACTTGTTGAGTCCATCAGCTCTTGAGACTCCAGGAGGACACGAGCTGCAGAGCACAACACATCTCTAAGCTTAGAGATATGGGTCTCCACAAACGCTCTGGTTTCTGCACGCCTGAGCTCCTTCACATTGTCTCAAACTACCCTGAGAAAGGAGCTCTTTAGACTATTTTGTTAACACAAACAATTGCTGTGGAGAATTTTAAGCATGTTAGGGATGGGCTAGGGAAGGAACTGTGAAATGCAGGTCTAACCGCCCATCTAATTTAGACTCCTGCGGCAATATTTTCTTTGAAGAAATCAATAACCCTCCCTCCAAAGCAAACTGTCAAAACAAAAGCCCATTTGACTCCCAAAGTTTCTCCTCCTGGCACTCTAGCTACTGGAAAGTGTCAGTTACATAGAGAAAGTGATTTAGGGTATTGTTTTAATAAAATAAAAAATGTGAGACTAGCTCTTCTGTTGGCAATTCTTCAGTAAATGACATGGTTGGAAGAAAGGTTGAAGGATGATTTGCAGGACTTTACTGGGCATATTTAACTGAAAATGGAGTCAAAGATTGAAAGGTGACGATATCACCAGATCCTGCAAAATTTAAGCTACTAGCCTCCTCATGATTGTAGA